AAGTTAGTTAAGCCATTTGTTGAGATCCGTAGTCCATGCTTTTCGATCTCTTTTTCCACCAAAAGCCATGGGTTTGGAGAAGAGATTGAGGAAGGGAATCATACCAAACGCCATGGATGAGTCTATTTAAGTTTCTCAAGGCTTAGGGAAAGCTCATCAATGAGTAGATCTATGTGTTTTCAAACCAAAGCTTGACTCTTGAACACTCTTGAATATGACCCTCGACCTTGAACCCTCTTTTTAGTATCTTAAAACCTCTGTTTATCATTCTCTAGTCATAAAGTTGCAATCTTGATCATTATAAGTCATTTGTCTTAAGTTGTTAGAATCGACCTGTTTTACCCGTTTTAGCTCTCGATTTTTAGTTATTAGTAGATTTGTATTTTAGGGTCTCTGTTTTCTTCTAGTAGTTGTTAACCCTCTTCCAGGGATTTTAAAATAATTTTCGTAGTAGTTTGGTCATTGCATTTAGTTTTTACATAATTTCTCATCCATTTACCCGAATCTGCTTAGCTTTGCTTAGTACTTGCATTCTTAGTGTTCTTCCTACTTCCTAGGTTGGATTGATACCCTTACTGCTATACTACATCATTGTTGTGGTTTGGGATTTGATATTTCACCTTGCAAACAATCTGTTTATCAAATGGCGTCGTTGCCATCTTAGAATTGTTAGGAAGCATTAGGATTTGGTGTTTGGCATTTAACTTTTATTTTGAATACTCATTGCTCTACCTTACTGATTGTGTTTTGAGGTACATGAATTTGAGCTCCAGGGGTGACAACAATCTGCTTAAACCCCTGGACAATATTCACCAACTCGGACACGCAAGACAAAGAAGAGCAAGAGAGCAAGCTCAAGCCTTTGAAGAGATTGTGCAAGCTGGTTCAGTAGACTTTGCAACAATGGCTCCGCAAGAACATCCTGAGGGACCTCCACCAGCTCATGGTGCTATAAGAAGGGGCAATGGAAACCCCAACCACGCAGCTAGACCACCATGGATCATAGGTGCTGGAGATGCTCCAAATACACATCATAACCGCTTTGGGATCACTCCTCCACCAGTCCAAAACAAAAATTTCGAGATAAAGCATGGATTCATCTCTATGGTTCAAAACAGCAAATTCCATGGACTGGCAATGGAAGACCCCTTGGGCATCTTGACAATTTTGAGCAAGTTTGTGGGATGATAAAGATCAATGGGATCTCGGAAGATGCTTTCAAGCTACGGATCTTCCCATTTTCTCTAGGAGATAAGGCTAGGCATTGGGAGAAGACCCTTCCACAAGGCACCATTACCTCTTGGGCTGAATGTAGGAAGACGTTCCTCTCAAAGTTTTGCTCTAGCACAAGAACAGCTAGGCTGCAAAGTGAGATCAGCGGATTCACTCAAAGGCAGAACGAGACATTCAATGAAGCTATGGAAAGATTCAAGGATTATACCATTCAGTGTCCTCACCACGGCTTCAGTGAAGAGACTCTCTTGAGCACAATATACCGAGAAGCATTACCCAAGATCCGAATGCTAATTGATACAGCAAGCAAGGGTAACTTTCTTGGTCAAGAAGTGGAAGAAGGTATGGAGCTCATAGAAAACTTGGCTTTGAGTGACGAGAATTACATCAAAGATTATGACCATGCACCTAGAGGTTCCGAGCTTGAGTCACACATGAAAGAGCTTAAGTCTCTCCATGAGAAGATAGACAAGCTAGTGCTTGCAAATCAGAAGCAAGTACATTTCGTGGGAGAAGCCGAAGATGTCTTAGAGGAGCTAGAGCTGAGCCAAGAAGAGGCTAATTGGGTTGCTGGTCAGAACTACAACAAGCCTCAGGGCTATTCTCAAGGCTACCAGGGCAACAACAATCTCTCATATAGGAGCACCAACTTTGAGAATCCAAAGGATCAAGTGTACACCCCTCACCAAGCAAAGCCTTTTGTATCCTACAACAAGGGGTTTCAACAAAACAGCGCATATCAAGATCTGAGGCAAGGCAATTTCCAGCAGCAACAGCAAGGCAACAAAGGTTACACTCCTATGTTTCCTCCCGGTTTCATGCCTCAACAGCAACAAGCTCCACCGCCTCCTCAAGATCCGGTTCAAGCAATGTTTCAACAGTTGCTTCAAGGTCAAGCTTCTACAAATCAGAAGTTTGTTGAGATGAACAACCGGCTAGATTCCTCTCTTACTGACGTCTCTACACAGATCACTAATATGAACAACAAGATCAAACAGTTAGAGAAAGGGAAAGCAAGTACAAGCGGTCAAAGCAGCTTACCGGGCAAGTGTGAGCAAAATCCCAAGGAGTATGCACACGCTATCACCTTGAGAAGTGGTAAAGAGCTTCCGCCGAGAGTTGCACCTAAAGACAATGAGGACATTGTAGTTCAAGAGGGGGAGGGTAAGCTTTCAGCTGATGAGGAGATTACTTTTGACAATGTTTGGATTGAGAGGCCAAGGAAAGGCAAAGAAGTTGTTCTAGAGAAGAAAGTAGAGGAGGTGAGCAAAGAGAAAGATGCATTTGTTCCTCCACCCTACAAACCGAAGCTTCCCTTTCCTGGCCGGTTCAAGAAACAGCTGCTTGAGAAGCATAGGGCAGTCTTTGAGAAGCATTTGAAAGATGTAGAGATCAAGCTACCTTTGGTGGATTACCTAGCCATGATGCCTAAGTGTGCAAAGTTTTTCAAAGATACGCTTACTAAGAAGAACAAAGAAAGTAAAGAAGTTTTGGTGCTTAATGAAGAGTGTAGTGCTATCATCCACAAGGAGATAGTACCCAAGAAGCTAGGGGATCCAGGGTCATTCACCATACCTTGCGCTCTTGGTCCTTTGACATTTCAAAGCTGTTTGTGTGATCTAGGCGCAAGTATAAATCTCATCCCCATTCCATTGCAAAGAAGCTCAGTTTCACAAGGTTTAAAGAGTGTAGGATCTCTCTCGTGCTAGCTGATAGAAGCATAAGGCTTTCTGTGGGCATGCTTCAAGATTTGCCCGTGAGAATCAGTGGAGTTAACATGCCAACTGACTTTGTTGTTTTTGAAATGGATGAAGAACCAAAGGATCCTCTAATCCTTGGAAGACCGTTTCTTGCAACCGCTGGAGCCATCATTGACGTTAAGAATGACAAGATCTCTCTACACTTGGGCAAGGACATCAAGCTAGACTTTGACATTAATGAAGTCTTGAAGAAGCCAACCATTGGAGGACAAGCTTTCTACATTGAAACTCTAGATGCTTTAGCCGATGAGTTGTTTGAGGAGTTGGCACAAGAGGATCACTTGCAGCTAGCTTTGACTAAGGAGCCAGGGGAGCATGGTTTTCTAGAGCGATCAGACCCAGGAGTACGTTCATATCCTTGATTCTCGCAAGGTTGTGAAGGAAGATGAAGGTGGGTGCCTAAAGATCGATCAGGAAATCAAGGACTTCACTCGATCAAGGACTACGATCGACAAGAAGATCGAGAGGACTGCTCGATCCGGGAAAGAAATCGATGAGAAGATCGAGAGAGCCAACTCGATCAGTTCACAGAACGACTCAGCAACTCAATCCATTTTAAATCGAGCAAGTGATCGAAGTGAGTGCAATCGATCCGGACCAGAACGAGTGGAAGATCGACTGGATGACTCAGTCTCTGAGGAGACGACGGTTCAAGATGGCAGCCTTAAAGCTCATAACTCGGGGTCTAAGGAGGGCAGTGAGGACAGCGACGTCAACACAAGCCACGAGGAGGAGTTGAGCGAGCTGCTAGCCTCAAAGGTGGACCTAAAGGAGCTCCTAAAAGGGTTAAGGTATGCTTTCTTAAGGCTTAATGAGTCTTATCCCGTAATTTTGAATGAAAGTCTGAGTGATGATGAGTTAAACTCGCTTCTTAAGGAGCTGAAAAAGTATAGGAAGGCCATTGGGTACTCTCTAAGTGACATCAAGGGCCTTTCACCAATGTTTTGTACTCATAGGATTCACTTAGAGAATGAAAAGTCTTCTTCTATTGAACATCAAAGGCGTTTAAACCCGAATTGAAAAAAAGTAGTTAAGAAAGAGATCTTAAAATTGTTAGAAGCTGATGTGATATACCCTATCAGTGACAACACGTGGATTTCTCTTGTCCACATGGTGCCTAAAAAAGAGGGAATCATAGTCATTAAGAATGAAAAAGATGATATGATTCCTACTAGAACCATAACTGGTCACCGAATGTGTATAGATTATAAGAAGTTCAATTCAGCTACTAAAAAGGATCATTTTCCTCTTTATTTTCTTTATCAAATGTTAGAGAGACTTGCTAATCATCCATACTATTGTTTTTTAGATGGATACAGCGGTTTCTTTCAAATCCCTATTCATCCAAATGACCAAGAAAAGACAATTTTCACATGCCTTTATAGTACCTTCACATATCGAAGAATGTCTTTTGGATTATGTAATGCTCCAGCAACTTTTCAAAGGTGCATGATGTCAATCTTCTCTGATCTTACAGAGGAAATGGTAGAGGTCTTTATGGATGAATTTTCTGTATATGGTGCGTCCTTTTCTGCTTGATTGTCTAATCTTTGCAAGGTACTTAAGCTATGTAATGAGACAAACTTGATGCTGAACTGGGAGAAATGTTACTTCATAGTGAATAAAAAAATTGTACTCGGTCACAAGATATCTGAGCAGGGGATAGAAATTGACAAAGCAAAGATTAAGGTCATGATGGTTGACGACAATCAGAAATTTACCAGACTGACTCTTCAATTCTTCAACAGTTTGAAGTCTTTCTCTTGTCTTCTGCAACTCAGCCTGTAAAGCCTCTATTGTTTGTTTTGCCTCATTTTCGACACCAAGAGTATTCACCATGCGCAATACCCTTGTATTTGCAGCAGCAAAATCACCATGACCCAGCTGCCAAACACAAAAAAAAACGAAATATATGTCAGTATTCTGACCATTAACTCTAAAGTAGAAGTTAGAGGTCCTAAATAGCATTTCTCTTTGCTTTAACAATAATGGAACATTCCATGAAACCTAAGACAGACAAAAGGCGCAGTACGTCAAATCCATTTCAACCATGGAAGGTAAAAGTTCCAATAGCTAATCAAAGAAACGATTCATTGTTCAATTTTCAGTAGAAATGTCAGGAGTGAAGAGTTAGTCTTCAACAGTGTGCTACAACTAAGTACCCTTGACTCCAGCAAAGAGATCTCCGAGCAAAGACGATCGCTATCCCTTTCCAGCGACTTCATTCTCCTTGCTTCACTGGCTAATTTATCATTTAGATGTTCTATTTCAGCACGTTGACGATTATTGACATCTTTCAGTTGACTTAGCTCCTTCTCTAACTCTTTAAGATAGTTCTCCTTGTTCGCAAGAGAAGATTCAATCCCCTGTACATTAAGGCAATCTAAGAAAAATGTTACGAACAAAAAACAATGTAAAAAAAGGACAATGTTATTCTAGAACCTGAACAAGAGTTACATCTGTGACCCCGGACACAGGTCCTTCACTGTTGGACTTCCTTAGTTCACTAACAACAGCTTTTAGTTGTTCTTTCTCTTCAGTGACCAAAGAAAGCTGTCATTACAAAATAATAAATCTGTTAGCAAGAGTGCAACAAAAAATGTTTGTATCAAAGTTGTCCCTGTCAAAATACGTGAGATATTATCCTATGAATTTTGTTTCTAACTACATAGATTCTAAGCCTATTATCAGCCTCTTATGAATGCATAAACCATTGATCAACATGAAATAAGGAGCTAAACTAGTAGTCTAGTATATATCCAACCAAAGACAGGAATACCTGGAGAAAAAAATCAATACACCAGGATATTGAATAGATATTGATGAAAGACTAGATTGTCACCGATTTAGAATGCTACCCTATATCACTCGACATCGAGGATGAAAAATCAACTTGAGGGGCCCCAATAGAAGATGAAAATGCACTAGTAGCCCTTTAGTTACGCAGCAGAAGCAACAAAATTCAATCTTACCATTACTTCAGTCCTCTTCATATCTGATTTGAGTGCCTCGGATTTCTCTTTAGCTAATGCAGCCTCAGTTTCAGCATTCTGCCTGCCAAGTTGTGCAGCATCCAGAGCCGCCTGCAGTTGATTAAAACGTGTACTTACTTCACCAATCTTCATAGTGCTATCAAGCACCTCCCTTCAAAAGACAGAAACACAAGTCACTGGGAAGTATCATAGATACACATGTTACCTCAGAGAGTTTGGTAAACTAGAAATCAGTACTAAGTTACACTAGATGCTCACAGGGCCACACTTGACCTGCTAAGACTTGCACTAGCAAGCCAGAATATCTCTAAAATACAAAGCTACATCTGTACAAAGTGGTGTTGCAAATGTTCTATGATAAATAATATCTAGTTCGCCTAAGAGAAGTCCGTATAATGGCCCCATAACAACCACCTCAGTTCTCCGCAGAATTATCTTATGGCAGGCATATTTTATTTGAAACAGTATCAGAAGAAGACTCTAGTGATAAGCTAAAATCTTCTAAGACCTTGTTGACATACTTTTGCAGCGCCAAGAATTTCACCATTATGTCATCAGGACAGGATACACCGGGAATGTTGTTTAGCAATGACTTCCAAGAGGATAATTCATCCTCCAAAGTGTCCATGCTTATCTGCAATTCAGGCAATTTTGATAACTCACTTTCAACAGCTCAGCATCTAACTGCTGCGATTTAAGCTTTCTAGCTTCTCGCACTTCAGCTTCCTGTAACAGTTATCAAGAATCAGTATCGTCAAGAAATATAATATGGAAACTAGCATAATCTCTCAGCGTGGATTGCTGCTTATGTAGCTCAACAGAATGAAACTTGTTAGAGATCATCAAGATTGGGAGGGACTAAATTCAGTTAGCAGCAGAAAAATAGAGATCATTGTGGATGTATCTAAAGTTGTGCGAGAGTAGTTCTTTTATGTTTATCATAAAGATGTACAACTTCTATAGGTGAGCAATACAGAGGGTTTTGATCAATGTTCTTACCACTTTCATACCCAAGTTCAATAAATTATGCATTTTACGCTGGAACAACTTTGTAAAATCATTACACGGGTAATCTAAGAAATGGTCAAACTTACATAGCGCTTAAGTTCCTCCTGGAGATTTTTAATCAATACACTGTTATCTGAAGAAGATGCCGCTTGAGAAGTGAATGACGAAAGCTTTTTGTCTACTTTAGTTTTTTCGTGTAAACACTGCAAACGAAACAAAAATTCAAATGAGACAGCGAGAGATCCAGTAAAATAATTGATAACTTATGACTTGTATTATTATATTTAACATGCAAGTCAATTAGCTTACCTCGTCAAATTTCTGCTTAAGATGCTCCAGCTGTGATCTTAAGAGATCTGTTTCCGCCTCTGCACTTTCTGCTCTGCATTGCATCCTTTCAAGCTAAAAAGCAAAGGAAAACATCAGTCCAGATATCATGAGAATAAAAAGAAAAGAGAAAACTCGAGTCAAGATAAAAAAGTTTCCTAATTGATACTTACATCTGCACCAATCCTAGATACAGAAAGCTTTGCTTCTTTACCCAAGTGGGCAATATCATTGTTCACACGTGTTTTCTCCCTGTCCACACTACCAGATAGCTGACTTAGTTTCTCTTCCAAAAGTTTAGCTTTTTCTTCTGCTGTTGCAACAGAAGACTCGGCTTTCTGTCGAAGATTCGTTTCATTTTGAAGTTTTACCTGGTGCCAAACAGGAAGAAGATATTGGCACCAATGACAACAAATAAAATAGTAAGACTGTAGTTCATAGACAGAACAAGAACCTCCAGTTCATGGCAAGATTGTAGTTCTTTTGTATACCGCGCTTGAGAAGTGTTGATCTCCGTTAAGAGCTGCTCCTGAAGCATCTTTTCACGCCCTTTTGCAGCAGCCAGTTCTTGCTCTGAGTATAAGAACTTATCTCGTAAGTGCTTTCTTTCTGCGTCTGTTGTAGAACAGTAAAACCAAATTCGTTATTAGAGTCTCCCAATAACAGCAAAAGCCAAGAGAAAAAAACACACTAGCATTCGTGCTCAAGACCCTCTAACTTCGAAATTGAAAAAAAAAAAAAAAAACCAAACCTGCTTCGTTAAAATTCTGATTTAGAGTCTGTAATTTGGTCTGATATTCCTGGGCTTGTTTCTCTGCTTTGCTTAAGGCATCTAGAACATCAGCTTTAACCTACAGCAAAGAGAATTAGCTTTTAAACCAACAAGCAGATTCAAAACTCAGATTCGATTGCGATTCTTCGAAGAATCGAGTATGTATGGAATTAGAGAGCTAAATAGGTAAGTACCATTTGGCGACATTGATAGGTGCAAAGGTACTGATCGGAATGATCATGAAAAGTTGTTTGTATTGGAGCGGGAAGAGGAGAATCTTCGTAAATAATGAGCTGCTTTCCGGAGCTAGCGGCGCCGGTGGGGGGTGGGCTGCCTCCGGCGTCGGTCCGGAGCTTCTTCGGCGGCGGAGTCCTTAAGATCATGTTGAATTTGAACAATTAGGGCTTACGTATCTCTCGGAAGCGACAGAAAAAAATCAATCTTCTCCGATTTAAAATCCAAGGCGCCACTTTATCTTGCCTCGAAAACCGACGAATTTGACGAGAGTGCACAAGAGAAGAGAACCAGCCGGACTCTCTCGTTGATGTCTCTTCGCCAAAACAAAGTGGGCCGTTACATACACAAGTCACTGGTAAAGTGGGCTTGACGGCGTACAAATGTTTAATTAAATATCATTTTCTACTGAGTTATTTACGTTTAGGAATACTGTATTTTATTAGTTTCAAGTTACAAAAAAAAATATTTTATTGAAAGTAAAGCATTTTTACTTAATAAACTAGGCTTTTAATTTATGCTACACACGAGTCTGTATTTATAATTTGGTTTAGTTTTATTTTTGGTTAATATCTTTAAAATTATCAAAACTATTATATATTTATAGAAATTTTCTTTTATATAAAAGAAAATTAAAACATAATATGTAGTTTTAACTATTTTTTATTATAAAATTATAAATTTTATTAAGTAAAATCATAATAATAACATTTAACGAATTATCCAACTTTGACGTGCATACGTTTGATTTAGAGAATAATTTCTTTACTAATTTTTTGGTGTTTTGTTTTATGTCTTTAAGTTTTCTATTGTTTTTATTTCTTAAGGTTTATATGTTCAAATATTTAGTTTTTGATTAAATGTCTCATTGATGTTGTGTACCTATGTATATATAATATATGATTCATGTTGATCAAATTTACTTTTGTTTGGATGCTACAATAATCATGTAACGTTGCTTTTTGCTTCTCTACCAGATCATCGATGAATTTTATGTTATATCTCTATTCAGTTTATAAGATCTTTTTTTTGCAGTCAACTATTTAATAGTTTTTATTTTAAGACATGTAAGATGGTGTGGAGTCCTCACATTATCACTGTTTTATCTTTTGTATCATTTTTATTCATGTTTTGATTTGAATAGTTTATCTAGATATATTCCAATTTGAATTTGATTCATAAATTTATCATACTTTATTATTTAAAAGAAATTTTAGAACATGTTACTCATGTACTGTTCATGTTGGCTAAGTTATAAGGAGTAACTATGTATAAATTAGTTGTTATATTTCGAATGTAGAATTACTTGTGTAGTATTTTTTGTTAGTTTTTAAACCAGACGGATCCAAGGTATTAGTCATTGTAAATTTAAATAATATGTTTGATTTAGAAACTTGTATAACCTATTGTAACTTTATATGGTTATTCATACAAATACCAATAATTTAGAAATCATGAATTTTCTAGAACTAAATTTTAAACTAATTTTTTCTTAGATTTTATTTTTTGTTATTTTACATATCTTTCGATGATAATTTTATATTTTAATTTAATTTATTTAATTTTGTGCATGCTTGTTATATTTAATATATATATATATATTTAATTAATCTTTTTTGTTATCGATTTTCCAAATAGGTAGCATATATCAATTTCATCTCTTTTACATAATTTTTTTTTCTTTTTAAAATTTATTTTTCACATTAATTTTCTTTTAATTATAATGCTATGTTGACATGCTATAACTGAGTATTCTAAATTTTATATGGACTTCTTTTAAAAGCTTATACCATCATTTTTTTTTAATTAATTTTTTTTATTGATTTTCTAAAATATTAGCCTAAATATCAAGCTAGGTTTTTTTTTATACAACTTTTTTCTTTGATAATTTACCTCTCTTGATATTGATTTCTATTTTATTTCAACACATAATAGTTTTGAAAATATTGATATTTTTGAAGACATAACTTCAGTTTTTGTTTTTTGTTAGTTAAATATTTTAATATTAATTTCTTAAGTATCTAGTCAGATATAAAGTAAAATTCTTTTCAGGTGATTTTTTAAAATTTAACATTTTGTAAAAATTAATTTTTGTTTTATTTTTCTTTGTTAATTAATTTTTTAATATTGATTTTTTAAATAATTAGCTTAAATATTTATCTTCTTTTTGTTCGTTAAGTTTTTTAGTATTACTTTAGTTTTATTGTTTTCTTACTTATTTTTTTATATTGATTTTGTTAAATAAAATATAGCATAGATATTAAATTAATATTCTTTTTTTTTGTTAATTTAATTTTTTGATATGAATATTCATTTTAATTGTATTGACATGTTGCAAAAAATAATTTTAAATTTGGTTTTTTGTTAGTTAGACTTTTTGGATAGTTCAGTTTTTTTTTTAATTTTCTAAATAATTTGGCTAAATATCAAGTTTTAAATGATTTTTTATTTTCTTAATTTACATGAATATTGTTTTTGGTAGTATTAATAGTTTTAAATAACAATTTTATATTATTATATAAACAATTTAATCTTAATATGATTTCTAAAAAAATTACTCATTTAAAATATATATTGTTAGAGGGAAAATGAGCACATTTTCTAAAAGGCCTTCCCCGCAATAACCTAAGCCCATCAAGACCAAGAAGACTGTGCCGACCTAGCTCGGATTTAAGGAAATCTCTTGAAAATAACTTTTGAACACCGGAAACATCGGATTAATTCAAATGATAAAGGAAAAATTCTTTATTCCTCGGAGAATAAAGGATTTTCATATCTATGATATGGAAATATACACAAAAGACAAAAAGGAAAAGGAGTTCGGAGCAACCGACCTCCCATCCCTATAAATAAAGAGGACCTGGAAGCCAAGAGGATCTATCCAATACATTCTAGAGAGCAACAGAGCTAAAACCAGAGACTCCAACGCTTTCTAGTTTACTTTGCAAACACCTTTTTACTTCGGCATAACCTCACGGTTATCCGTTTCTTTGTAATCGCTTTGCTTATTACTATTAATAAAAAGACATTATTCTCTGAAACCCACAACTGTTAATCAAACCCTAGTGGTGATTTTCTGGTTCAACAGTTGGCGCCGTCTGTAGGGACTAGGAGAATAAATTCTTAAAAACCAAGTAAGAAAGACGAAGCGATGAGCCTCTCCGTCGACAACAGCGATCTCATCCGCAACGACGATGACACCACTCACACCGAGACATCCGCTCTCGGCAAACGTACGAACGTCACTACCGCGAATCCACCCGCGGGAGCACCCCCAGCTCCCCTCTAGGCCGCTGACCTCGCAGCAGCTATCCAGGCCGCCATGCAGCCACTCACGCAGGATTTGGTATCCAAACTAGACACCCTCCAGGCCCAGCAAGCCAAATACGACGAGCAACTCAGCGCTTTCATAGCCGCGACCACCGCCAGATCGGAGCTGATCGGGCGACGTTTAATCTTCGAAACACCAAAGCAAAACAACATCAGGGGTACAGCAGCTGACGATGAGGAGCCGTCTGGCGAACTAAATTTCGAGATCGCAAGGCTTCATCAGCAAATCAACGCGATCGGATCCCAAGTCCATCGAGCCACAAGCTCGGCACCCGAGATCTCAGCCATTCTCTCCGATGCCGAACGTAATCCATTCGCCCCGCGGATCACCGACGTACGACTTGGCGAGGCGATAAAACTGAAGCTCCCATACTACAACGGGATGGAGGATCCCAACCTATGGCTGACCGTATTCAACGTCGCCATGAAGAGGCAACGATTCGAGACCGACCTCGAACGCAAAGCCAACCACTGCCAAACCTTTGTGGAACATCTTAACAAAGACGCTTTGAAATGGTTCTCTAACTTACCCCCGGCCTCAATAAATCCTTCAAAGATCTGACCCACGCCTTCATCAAACATTATTCCATGTTCATCACAAAGAGGACGGTCAACCTGTTCACTCTAGTGCAAGAACGCGACCAACCACTCCGCGACTTCATCGAGAAATTTAAGAACGCCGCCGCGGCATACAGGCAAATCCCGCAAGCCTTAGCCATCGAGGCACTCATGAACGGTCTATGGTACGAATCTTCTTTTAAGGAAGATCTGCAGAAACACCCGAAGGAAACCATAGAAGATGCACTCCATCGGGGCCAGACCTTCATACGGATGGAGGAGGAAAAAACGTTCTACGCCAAGAAGCACGGCATGGACATAGCAAGCACTTCGAAAGACAAGGAGCCCGCAAGTAAAAGCAAGCCCTCCTCTCACGCTGTTGTAACAACTACAGAGAAGCCCTGGAATCAGTGGACCCTAGGAGATCCCCCAAGGAGCATGAGCGATAGGGACGATAATCACGACCTCTACTGCTCCTTTCACGGCCGAACAGGACACGCTACTTCAGCCTGTCGACACCTCCACAATACGCTATATGAACAATACAAAGAAGGCAAAATCAACATCGGAGGTGATCGATCCCGGAGTAAAAGCTCATATTCACGCAGTTCAAACCCTAGGGACTAGCGTCAGGCCACCTCCACTCGGGATCGCAGGGACCCAGGAAAAAGCAGCAGTCGAGGAAGTTCTGGAGGAAGGCGCTGAATTCGCACGCCTGAAAGAAGGCACGAAGAGAAGGAGAAAGAAAAAGGAGCAGAGCGCCAGAACGACGAAGGAGAACACGAAAATCCACCCCCGCCACCAAAACGACGAGTTAACATGATCATGGGAGTCCGTGCCATCAAATAATATGGACGTAAGGCAGTCGCGTCGTGAAAATTCCCTCGCCACGTGGCCTATCACCCCCACGATCACCTTCACATCAGAGGACATGCATGGGTTACACACCCCGCATAACAACCCGCTGGTGGTCGAACTCCATATCCATGACAGCGAAGTGACCAAAATCTTGGTGGATACCGGCAGCATGGTCAACATCATCTTTAAAGATACGTTGATTAAGATGGGATTCCAAGACAAAGACATCAAGGCGGCACCAAAGCCTTTAACTGGCTTTGCCAGTGAATCCTTCTTCAGGTCGGATTATGTCGGCGGAGTGACAAAAATTGTTAAATTTATTGTAATGGACAAACCAGCAATTTACAATGCCATACTTGGCACACCTTGGATCCATGAGATGAAAGCAATCGTGTCGACTTATCATCAATGTATGAAATTCGTCACTTCGGCCAGAGTTTTTACACTTCGCGGGGATCAGCAGATGGCGAGATCTTGCTTCATCAGCGAGCGCAAAGTACGACTCTCCACGGCAAAAGCACTCGAGGACGCTAAATAAGCGAGAAAGATTTGACAACGAGTCTTAGCTATTTTCTTTTTTTCTCTTCAATAAAACC